GTGCTAAATGGATAAGTGAGAAGAGGGAAGGAAAGGAAATGAGATCAATGAATAGAGAGGCAGGTGAGGAGATGGAATACCTGCCAAAATAGGTAGGGGGTAAGGTGTGTGAGAACTCAGGTCTTTTAGTGCATGTAGACACAAGAGTTGATGGGAAGGTAGGAAAATGAGTTGATACATATATGTATGTGTGTGTCTATATACACGTATGTTTGATTAAGTAGATAGAAAAAACTGATAAATTGGTAAGTCAAGACAAGCGGTAAGGAGACAGTAGTTGTAAGCTGTTTAGGAGGCAGAAATGGGAGGATTGCAGTTTGAGGCCAGCAGGCAAAAAAGTTAGACTCTATCTCAAGAAATAAGCCAGGCATGGTGGTACATACCTGTAGTCCTGGCTATTCAGAAGGGGGAGGATCATAGTCTAAGGCCAGTGCCTAAGACCCTATATGAAAAATAAACTAAGCAAAAAGGGCTGGGGAGTGGCTCCAGTGGTAGAGCACTTACTTGACTAGCAAAACTGGGGCCCAGAGTTCAATCTCCAGTACTGAGACAGACAGAGAGAGGGAGAGGGAGAGGGAGAGAGACAGAGAGAGAGAGAGAGAGAGAGAGAGTTGCAGATGGATTCATTGAGAAGTGGATCTGAGTGGGTAGGCAGATGATCCAGGAAGCTGAAGGGCAGACAGGTGTGTGCACAGGCAGGTGGCTACAGGTGGCTGGTAAGGACACAAGTGAGTCACTCGAGATACTAGCAACAGGAAACAGAAACCGGTCCTGGCTGGGTTGGCACCAGGTAAGCGGATTTGAGTAGCTGGCCTGGGAAAGCCCAGGGAAGAGCCGACTTCCACGGCAGGTGCTTCTCCTCGTGCTGTGACTCCTGGGGGCGTGTCCCTGGGGCACAGGGCAGCCCCAGAGGAAAGACAAACATCCTCCTTGAAGCCCAGCTCCTCCCAGGAGACAGAAGGCCCCAGCTGAGAGCAGGATGGCTCTGGGAAGGAGGGGTGCAGCCTCTCTGCTGAGGCTCCTCCACCCCAAGTGCCAAATGGGGAAGGAAGCTGCAGGGAGACACTGCGCCATGTATCTCCCTTTCCAGTAAATCAGGTGACATCCTAGAAGGAGCCTTGGTTCTCTGACCCTAAAACAGAGTCTACACAGCAAGAAAGACAGTGAAGCAGAGCCAAAGAAAACCAGAAAATATAGATGCTTGGCAGCTGTGTCCTGGAGCCTGGAGAAAGCAGACAAAAAGGCAACACTGGGCCTCCTAGTCCACAGATAAATGCCCTCCCCTCCTACTCACACTGGGCTTGTGGTCCCCTAGAAACAGTGACTCTGTGAACTGTTATCACCTCCATTTTGCAGATGGGAAAACTGAGTCCCAGAAGGGTCCAGCTGGGCAGTGTTCCAAGTTGTACCTCTTGGAATTGGGGAGCCAAAGCAGGCACTCATGCTGCTGGAGGGCAAACCCTTGTGATTATTCAATGCACCATGCTGAGGGCAAGGCCAATGGACTCACTTCTTAGCTTGGCACAGACGCCTGGCACCCAGCCCTGTGTTGTACTTGGAGCAGGTGTCTAGACGTTATCTGGGGTCCCCACTGAGATCGCAGAAGTGCTGGTTTCTCAGCACCCAGGCCTGGCTTACTTTTCCCTGCTGAGTGTGGCTGGCTGGTCTCCTCTTTGGAGATGTCAGAGGTGTCTTCCTGTTACTCAGTGCCTGGAGATTTTCCCAGCTCCTGTCTCACTTAACCCTCACTGTAGCCCTGAGAGATTTCTACCACTCCCATGTTAGAGATGAAGAAACTGAGGTTCAGAGGGGGTCAGTCACATGACCAAGGTCACCTGGGTTGTAGGAAGCACAGCATGGCTGCGGACCCCACGCTATCCAGCTCCCAGTCTGGCTCTTTATCCATCATCCCCCATCCTGGCTCTCTCACCCCTGGCTTCTGATTGCCCTTCACAGTCCACCACCCATTGTTGACTGATGTCCACCTAAATGTTTGCTTTGATTTCCCATGGAGCCCACTGAGTTCCCTTGGAACAATGACCTTGACTCGCAGGCCTCCAGGTCTCCCCTGAAGTTTCCTGGAGCTGGACACACACAGACTGCTCTGTGGGGTGTGTAGTGCAAAGCCAGCGCCTGGCTTCCTCCCCAGATGTGAGCCAACTGCACTGTTGCAGGGAACACTGTGCTGTCTGTCGAAGGTACCTTCTGAATCATCAGACCGGTTTCAGTTTGGAGATGGCTAACCTGTTCTTGGTAGAGTTACGGTATCCCCTGGAGTTGCTCAGAAGAAGAAGCCATGCATAAGAGGCTGCAGAGGCTGCACACTTGAGACCCAAGAGGCCCCTCCCAGGTCATGCCCTGACACAGATCGTGGCACTTCTCTGCCTCTATTTACTCATTTGTAAAGTGAGAAAATGGTAATGCATAACCTAATCCATCCATCCGTCCACTCATCCATCCATCTGTCCACTCATTCATCCACCCACAACATCCCATCCATCCTTCACCCATCCATTCATCCACGCACTCACCCATCCATCATTCCATCCATCCATCCATCCACCCATCCACCCATCCACCCATCCACCCATCTACCCACCCAATGCATTCATCCATCACCCAACGTTACAAATATCTATTTCACACTGCCCTGTGCTGAGGCGCCTTGCTAAGCCTTTGGGATGTGTGGCGATTGAAGTGTAGATCCATGTCCATGGGTTCTCCAGTAGGAGAAGCAATTGATAAACAACACACACAGTACAAAAGTAAACTCTATGCAAGGTGAAAGGAGGTCAGGCTGGGGGCAGGCAGAGCTCAGAGCATGTGGGGCGGGGGAAATTGCAATTCTAAATGGGATGGCCAAGTCAGGCCTCTTTGATGAGGTGACTTTGAGCAAAGAGGTGAGGGACATTAGGAAGTCGGCAGGGCTGGAAGCTCCAGGCAGAGGGAAGAGCACACGCAAGGGTCCTGGGGCAGAGGTGTGTGGGAGGGAGAATGAGGTCACAGAGGGGCTGGAGTAGATAAGTGTAGGGAGAAAGAGCACGAGGGCAGAGAGGTGATGAAAGCCTTGTGGGCGATTGTCCAGATTCAGTTTCGCTCTGAGTGACTTGGGAGCCAGTGCAATCCTTAGAGCAATGGAGGGCCTAGATCATTCTAGGGTGGCTGAGAGGATGTTACAAAACCCCGCATGGATGATTTCCTGCTTTGAGCCCTTTGCTGAAATTAAGGCAGGGCCTGTTATTTACAAACCACACAACTCTGTGTCCCTGTTCAGTGTCCTCCCTCTGAAGGCTGCTCTACCCTCACCCAAGAGATGGATGGGCACCATTAACACAGATCATCTGCTTACTGTCCTGGCCAAGCCTGGAGGCCCTGGGGAGGAGCTGGCCTGGAGAACAGGGAGAGGAGCAGGAGAAGAAGGCCATTTGTCCTGCATTGTCTCCCAGCCCCCTGAGGACCACACGGCCTGAGCCCAGTTCCACTTTCTGAAGTCACATGGGATCCGAAATAAAAATATTACATCCCCAGGGAGGAAACAGAGTTAAATAACAGGAACCAGGGCTCTCAGAAAGGGGGAGGGAGGGGCCGAGGTGTGGGCAGCAGCGTGAGAAGGAGCAGCAGTGGGGGTGAGGGGGGCACTCTCACTTCTCCCCATCAGGGGTCGCCATTTGCGCCCCTGACTGGACCACTCTGGCCGCCTGCGCCCCAGGTGAGAAGCTGAAAGATGGTTGTGTAGTAAGAGGGCAATGTTAAGGGGTAGAGAATGAAAGCGCATCCAAGATGCCCAAGAAGAGCCACCCCATAAACCAACAGGAACCCTGCTGACATAACATGACAGAACATCAGCGACACCGGCAGTGCTGGGTGCTTCAAGGCCACAGAAAGACATTGGAGCCCCTGAGAGTCAGGTTGCCTGTCTTCCCACCCAGCTTCCACAACTTCCCACCTGGGAGCTCCTGCCCAGTCTCCCCTTTGTGTTGGATGAGGGTACAGAACAGGGGAGGGTGGGAGGGACAGCTAAGTCACAAGTAGGGGGGCTAATTCTGTTCATGCCTCAAGTCTCCAAGTTACTCTGAAAGCATAATGGGACCAGAAAGGGCTGGAAATTACACCCACGGAGTCCTGCGATCAGCACAGCACAGACAGAAGACAGACAAACATGTGCAAGTGAGCTGGCATGGGCCAATTTGCACCCCGGAAGGAGCCCGTGATGCTGGAGGCACCAGGGATGGCGGTGGAAACAGAGCAGTTATCCTCCTGACCTAAGCGAGACACAATTGGAGGGCACAGCTCAGTGGCAGGGGTGTGTGCACAGGGTGCCAGAGGCCCTGCTGCCATCCCCAGCACCAAAAATGCTAAGAAAAAAGACTCATTCTGTCTTTCCCTATAGGTTGACCCCTTCTTTTCTCTTCTCTTTCTCTCTCCCTTCCCTGCCACCTCCTCCCTTTTTATCTTCCTCCTTCCTTCCTCTCTTTTTCTTTTCTCCTCTTGGTCTCTGTCAGTCCACTCTATCTTTCCGTCTTTTTTTCCCTCTCTCTCTATTTCACATATACCCATGCACCCTCACAAGTGCATGTACACACACATGCCTGTGCACACCCAGTGTCCTCTGCTCCCCAGTTCCCCTTCTGTCCTTGGCACCCCATTTCTCTACTGTTGGCCTGCACTGCGCTTGGCTCTGTCTTCCCCTAGACAGTGAGCCTTTTTCAGGAAGGGTTTGATCTGTCCACGAGCACCCTTGGTGCTGGCATACTGAGGGGCCTCAGGGCAAGGATGGAGCAGGTGTTGGGCACATGCCCTGGGATGCTTTTGCCCAGCAGCGCAGGACGCACACTGCCTGCCTCCCAGCCACAGGGACTAGATCTTCCAAGAACTCGGAGCTCTGGCCAGCTCACCGGATGCCCGGATTCCTGTGCACTGACTTCCCTTTCAGAGAGGAAGAAAACCCCTGAGCTGCCCACCCTTTGTCATTGGCCCTGGTCCAAGGGATGCCAACTTACCACCATGATTCTGGTAGCTAGGGCCCCACTCGATCAGTGGGGCCTGCAGCCAGCTCCAGGCCCAACCCAAGGGGGCCAAGTCCAGGTCCCCTTTCTCCACAAGGCTCAGGGAGATCTTCCTGGCTAGAGCCTCACCATCTGGCTCTTGAAGCAGGGCATCATGGTACTCCTGGGAGAGGAGCTGGGCCTCCAGCAGGCTGTCCAGGAGTGCCTGAACCTGCCTGGGCTGCTGATCCAAGAGCAGTCTCCGGACGCAGGGCAGAATGGCCTGGAAGTGATTCATGGCAGTGCTGGGAGCCAGTCTAGCTCCCTGCCTGACTGGGATGTCCTTTCAGCCAGTCTGCAGCATCCAAAACAGAAGTGAAAAGCAGGATGAGGGAACCTCAGCCGTCGATGGCAGCCAACTCCTTCTTAGGAAGATTTCCTCATTTGCCTTGTAGGCTGGGGTGCCTGACAGACAGATGGAAATGGGGTTTGGATGATTCAGACCCTGCAGACATTCGCTGGGTGCCACCTGTGTGCACGTGTGCAGCCCGGGAATTCCACCAGAGCCAATCCTGTCTGTACCAAGAGGAAGGGACCTGGCCTCCACAAAGGGCCCATTGGGGGTGGGTCCTGGTAATGTTTTGTCACAACAAGAAGGCACTGTGGCAAAGAGGCTAGACAAGTTGTCTGGAGCTCACTGCTTGGGCACCAGCCCCAGGCCCACCATTTGCTAACTGTGCTAGGTACCTTGGGCTGGGTACCCAGACTTTTAAAGCTTCCCTCTGCCCACCTGAAAAGATGAAGTGATAATTACAGTACTTACCTCACAGGGTTGTTGGGAGGATTAAATGAGACCACATATTGTGTGCTACTTACAGTGTGACAATAATTCAATAAAGAGGAGCCGTCACTGTTATGATTGATCAGGCAAACAACCATCAATTTGAACTTAATCTCACTAAACCTCAGTCTCCTCTGTAACTCCCTCAATAAAAGCAATTCAATTGCTGGGCTTGGTGGTACACACCTGTAATCCCAGCTCTTGGGAGGTGGAGTCAGGAGAATCTTGAGTTTGAGGACAGCCCAGGCTATATAATGAGACTTTGTGTCAGAAAATGAAGCAAAACAAAATAACAACAACAAAAATAAACCTCAGGCATTTGTGGGATAATAACATAAGGTTTGACTTACACAACACAGAATCAAGGAGAGAAGATGGGTAGAAAAATATTTGAGGAAATATTTCTTAGGAAGAACACAGACTTGAGAAACTCAGTGAGTCTAAGCAGGGTGAACCCCAGAAAGTCCCAGCAGGGCACGTCACAGCCCGACTGTCCCCAACGGCTTGAAACCTGTGAAACTCACCAAACCAAGACAACTAGTCACCTACAGGAGAAGGGCCCCGGGGAGGGACTCAGGGGATTTAGACAGGACTCTGCTTTTTTCACTAGCTGATCTGGTATTGAAGCTATTCATATTCTCATTTATTTATTTTGTGGTACTGGGTGTTGAACTCGAGCTTGCTAGGCAGCCACTCTACCACTTGAGTCATTCACCTTTCTTTCTTTTTCTTTCTTTCTTTCTTTCTTTCTTTTTTCTTTCTTTCTTTACTTTCTTTCTTTCTTTTTTCCTTTCTCTCTCTCTCTCTCTCTCTCTCTCTTCTTTTCTTCTCTCTCCCTCCCTCCCTCCCTCCCTCCCTCCCTCCCTCCCTTCCTTCCTTCCTTCTTTCTTTCTTCTTTTGCTTTAGTTTGTTTTTAGATAGGGCCTCACATTTTTCCCCAGGGCCAGCCTCAGACTGTGATCCTCCTACCCATGCCTCCTGGATAGCTGGGATTACAGAAGCATATCATTACTCCTTGCTAACTTTTTGTCCAAGTGGATCTCAAACTGCAATCCTCCTCTCTCCTTCCAAGTAGCTTGGATTATATCCATGACCACCACGACTGACCCCATATTGTCACTCTTTATAACTTCCTTTTTTTTAGTGGGACTGAGGTTTCGAACTCAGGGCTTGGCACTTGAAAAGCAGGCGTTCTACAATTTGAGCCACACCTCCAGTCCATTTCACTCTGATTGTTTTGGAGTTGGGGATCTCAAGAACTATTTGCCCAGGCTGGCCTCAAATCACAATCCTCCAGATCTCAGCCCCCCAAGGAGCTAGGATTACAGGCGTGAGCCACCAGTGCTTGATTTTTATAACTTCTTATATGTCTAAAATATCCTATTAGGTTGAGTTGTTCAATATTAGTGATATTTGTTTGTCTTAGATTTACAAAAATGTTTTTTTCATACTGAGATCTAAGGTGATGCTGTTGCTGCTGATGACAGTCTTGCAAGGGACCTCTTTTTTTTTTGTGGTACTGGAGTTTGAACTCAGGACCTACACCTTGAACCACTCCACCAGCCCTTTTTGGTGATGGGTGTTTTCAAGATAGGGTCTTGTGAACTATTTGCCCAGACTGGCTTTGAGCCGATATCCTTCTGATCTCTGCCTCCTGGGTAGCTGGGATTACAGGCATGAGCCACCTGTACCTGGCATGGGACCTCTTTTTCTTGCTAGGTAATTGACTGTTGTCTGAGTCCAGCAGGGTAGCACATGACTCACAGTTTGGGAAGAAACACTGATTGTGTGATTGTTGTCATACTTTGGTCACGGACAGAGACCTGGATCTTCACTCACAGTCCCCTCCCTAGAGGTCTTGAGGAGAAGAAGATTATGGTATGAGACTGGAAGCAGGGGAAGGGGGTGCTAAGGGGCCTGTTGAGGGGAGGTGGCACAGCTGACACACGCAGTGTGTTCTTGCTCCAGCTCCCAGGTTATGGCTGTCCCTTGGGCCACCTACCTGCTGAGTGAGAGATGCAGTCCCTTCGGTTCCTGCATCTCTGGCTGGGAGATCAGTGGTGATGTAATGAGCACTTCAGACGCCATTTCTGGAGTGAGAACAGTCAGATGCTTCTGTACGTAGCCTTGTCATCAACAAAGCCAGTTCAAGATGGTGGCAGCATCGCACTGTCCGCAGGCAGCCCAGAGGGAGAAGTCACAGAACACCAGCTGTGGGCTTGGAAAGGAGAAGAGGGCCTGGAACACAGCACCTGCCAGGGGCTGCTTCCTCCCCAGAGGCAGGAGGCCTGCGCCCTGGGGCACAGGCTGGCCAAGCTGGTCCCTGGGGCTGCTGTGTGGCTGCCCACAGGCCAATGCAATGGGATGCTGTGTCCCAGCCTGAGTCATCCACACCACTGCTCAAGTGTGTGGACGGCTGACTTTGCTTCTTGGGATTTCCCCCAAGGCACAGGGAGTGCGCTCTTTGCTTATGACTGTGGAGGCGGAGGGATGGTGGGGACCAGCAGGTAGGTCACTGAGTAATGATGTGTTCCACCACCATTCACGTGGGCAGAAGTGCAAGTCAGGAGACTGGACCCAGTGAGGTCTGGGAGTCAGTTTTAGGACTGCCACCCTCTGCTCCGTCACTGCCACCATCATCGCCCTTCCTCCACCACCACCACCACACCACCATCTCCTTCTTCATCATCACCATCACCATTACCATCATCGTCACCCCCCTGCCATTCACCATAATCACCCCCCCATCATTCCCCATCTCTACCACTACCTCCCCCTCCATCACCACCACCACCTTCTCTCCACCATCACCACCACCATCTCCATCACCACCACCATCTCCTCCTCCATCACCACCACCATCACCATCACCACCACCATCTCCCCCTCCATCACCACCACCTCCCCCTCCACCACCATCTCCCCCTCCATCACCACCACCTCCCCCTCCACCACCATCTCCCCCTCCATCACCACCACCATCTCCATCATCACCACCATCTCCTCCTCCATCATCACCACCACCACCACCTCCACCACCACCTCCCCCTCCATCACCACCACCATCACCACCTCCACCACCATCTCCCCCTCCATCACCACCACCCCCATCACCACCACCATCACCATCACCACCATCTCCCCCTCCATCACCACCATCACCACCACCATCTCCCCCTCCATCACCACCACCACCATCACCACCACCACTCCCCCTCCATCACCACCACCATCACCATCACCACCATCTCCCCCTCCATCACCACCACCACCTCCCCCTCCATCACCACCACCATCTCCCCCTCCATCACCACCACCACCACCATCATCACCACCACCACCATCATCTGCTCCTCCATCATTCCTGTCCCCATCTCGCTCTGCCACTGCCATAATTCTCACCACTTCTTCCACGATCGCCATCGGTCCGGTCCCCTCCCTCCCCTCTACCATCACCACCGCCATTCCTACCACTTGGTCATCTGCACCCCACTACTTTGCTTCTTGCACTACCTCTGCCATTATCACCACTTCCACGATAGCCACCTCCTCCCAACTCTGTACTTCCATCTTGGTCACTCTGCCCCACCTCAGCACTGCTACCACCTCTGTCACCATCTACTTCTGCCTGGTAATGCTATAACAGCCTGCAAAGTGGGCATCCTGACTATCACTGTGATATGAGAAGTTCGAAGAAGATTCAAAACCAAGATGATGACATGTCCGTGTGATCCTGCTTGGTGCCTCACACAGGGATGTTGGGACTACTTATTGATGTGGAATTTGACCAATGTGGAAACAGCACTTGTTTCTGGAGACGTGGAGAGGACCAAACGGTTCTCTAGAGGAAGTGAACACTTATGAAAGGAGTTTGGGTGTGACAAGCACTGGAGGCCCATTGACATCAATTGTCCTGCTGAGGGTCACACATCCAGTAACTTCCAGGATGTAAGCAGAGAATGTCAAAGGCTGCAGGACCACAGCTCAACCTCTGCCTTGGTCACGTGAGTCCTTTGCATACTATCAAGGCTGTGACAGCTGCAGAGATGTGCCATGTGGCTACCTTGGAGGTACCTGCCGCAGGATAGGGAACCCCCAGCCTCTAGCCCACAGACTCTATCTCAGCTTGTAAGCTGATCCAGGGGCTTCCCGGCCAGTCCCGGTCAGTGTACACAGCTGTGACATAGGACTCACCGCGTCTGGGCAGTGTGGGGCCCTCTGTGGGCAATCCATGTGCCTGGGCTCCTGGGGTGTCTGGCTGAGCCTCTCAGACCTGAACCAAGTCTGAGGTGCTTCCTGTAGAGCCATCCTTCTGCCCCCCCATTTTTACAAGTGTCAGCTGTCTGCTCCCCCACATTCCTGCTTTCTCACCCCTTTTCTTACAGAGACCTTGTTCCCTAAAATCTCTTGTACCCCTCCTCTGTCTTGGTGTCTGCTTCCTGAAGGCTCTCATATGACAGAAAGGCTAAGTTTCTACTATTCTGCAAAGGGCACTTTTTTCTTCCTCACCTT